GTAAAATCGAACAGGTGGCTCATGAAAAAAATATTATGACATCATGAATCTATTTTAAATTTACATAAGAATATTTTTCAATTTAAAACACAAACATAATCTTCAATGACTGATGAAAACACAAAAACTTTTTTTTAATTTCATATTGTTAAAAAGGATTTCAGAGTTTTTTACAAATGAGCATAACGCATGCAGTGAAAGACATTTACAAGCCGTGCTATAAATTAAAAAATAAAGTAATTTATGGTCACTCAACTGTAATAATTCGTATAAACGTGTTCTAAAATCTTATTTCCATGCAAATATGGGATAAAATTTTCTTAAACTTGAAAAATTGTATGAAGTAATGAAAAAAATATTGCTTTTAAAAATTCACTAGATTCAATAGCCGTCACCATAAAGATCGATTTGTTAATTTTATAAGGTGAGATATTTTTTTCAATTCTACGTGCAAATTAATCCCGTAGCAGTGTTCCCCAACCCTCGGTCCGTGGATGAAATGGTAACGGGCCGCCCATTTCATTGAAACAGAATTTAAATTCCAAGGTTTAAACCCCAAATTAAAAAATATCTGGTAAGGAATATATCTGCTACCCATTTGTCAACAAATCGGGTGAATCTAGCATGTCTGTGCAAGAAGAAGATCAACTGCTGGAGACTGCCAATGTTGGCGGCCTTAAAACTACATTCAAGACTACAACTCTGCCGGTGTTCTGGATTAAAGTTATGGCAGAATACCCCGAGATTACCACCACAACACTTAAATCCATATTGCCATTTCCGACAACCTATCTGTGTGAAGCTGGGCTTTCTGCAGTCACAGCAACCAAAACAAAGCAACGGAATAAACTGGACAAAAGCAACACACTTCCGGCGTCATTGTCTCCGATTACCCCCAGATGCAACAGTCTCATTGCAAAGAAACAAGCTCATTGATTTAGCGTTCTAGTAAGTTAAAATGTTAAATCACTTTATATTTATTTTTTGGTGTAACTGTATTTTATTTTGAACGCACGTTTAAACACAATTAAATTAAAATTAATAAATCAAAATAATCTGAAGTATGAACAATCAACGTCCCCCCCCCCAGCGGGCCGCTGTAAAATTATCAAACATTGACAGGTCCGCGGTGATAAAAAGGTTGGGGAACTAGTGAACTGATCGTAAAAACATGGTTCCCAGTGGAACACCGAAGGCAAGCATCACTGACTGCAGTTAGTAAGCGGGTGGGTGACCACCATGATCACCCTGCGTAGAGACCGAGGGTGGGCGGTATCGGTCCTCGTTAAACTGTTCTACCGTAAAGTGCTCGACTTCGCTCGCAGGTCGTCGGGTTATCAAAGTAGGGGAGCCATCCTCTNACAAGGCTACGGAGTTGAACATTAGTAGTCGTAAACCCATGAAATTGGGTCGGCTGTTCAACGACGGTTATAAAATAAAATAAAATCTATTATACAGCTCTAGCGCGACGTAAATGAAGCACCTACCTACCTGGTTTCAAATAAAAAAAATAATATCGAAAAATGACTATCAGTGTTTTACAGCATAATAGCTCGCAATAAAGCACTTATACAGGCAAGATTGAGAAATGTATTTCGGTTGCACTTGGTCCAAAAAAAATATTAATAATAATAATTGAAGAAAAATGATTTTTATAAATAACCGTAACTGTGAAAGACTTGATAAGACCTCCTTGCTTGATTATTACTGTCACCGACACAATTACTGTCACCGACATTTATGTAAACAAAGCCTTTCATTAGTATTTTTTCGTATATTTTCTGAACTTATAAGCAGATGGCCGCACAAATCATAGTGGGTTCGAAATAAGAACATTACTGAAAAGATAAGTGTCCCTATTTTCTCAGTATAATGGCTATGTGTGCAATAAAACTCCTTTTCAAGATCAATAAATTTATTTCACTTACGTATTGACGGAAACAAAAATGATTGCGTAGAGTTTTCTCCAGATGAGAATAAATATGGAGTAAAGAACTCTTACAAGCCACGATTTGAGCTTCAGAAAAGATAAAGTAATTTATGCTGAGATGGAACTTAGGACTCGATGCTCGCCATCTTAAGTTAAATATTTGATTTCCGTTTTCTTGATTTTTTTTTCTTCTTGATTTTGTCTACTTGACAAACTTTTGATGACATAGTTTTATTCGAAAACACAATATCTTTCATAGAAGGTGGAAAATAAAGGGATTGCTTTAGTAAATTAGGAGAAATAGAGTTTGATAATTTTAAAAACTTCTATGGAATTTTCCTTAGAACTTTAAAGCAATAAAAATGCGTGATTTGGTGGTTTCGAAAAAGTAATTTAAAACTACAAATTTGTCAGTTTTTTTTAAAATTTTTATATTGTTACAGTTAATTCGGATGAAACCTAATTTGGATGATGCCAAAAAATTCTTTTAACGTAAGTATCTAAAAAACAAACATGCTTATTAACAATATAAAAACAGACAAATGCGAACTATTTAACTACATTTCAAAACTGATTGCAGAATTGTATTGGTATAATTTTGTCAGAAAAAAATTGATAGAGAATACAAAATACAGGTTAAATAAATAACTTGTATTATACATGTATCAAAAGATACTGCCTATTAGAATTAATATGCATCATCAGTACATTTTATTTTATAACTGGCGTTGAACAGGTGACTCAATTCTGTATTTACGACTTTCAATGTTCAACACCTTAAACTTTTAATTTAGAACCCAACTCAGAAGACAAAGGAGCTCTTGGATCAATCATTGGGACAAACTAGTCTTCGCGGATGACTTTTTGATGGAACTAACCGGCATTTGCGCTACATGAAGGGGAATACCACGAAAATCTCCCATGATTAGTCCAACGGCAAGGGTATTCTAGCTGCTATACAAACCATCAGTAAATATGTTAAAATTTTATACAGATGATTAATTATACATTAACAATTCGGCGATAGTTGAGTTCGATAGAGAGGATTGATAATAATTCATAATATTTATTTTGTTGCAAAAACTAATTTCCTTACAAAAAATTTTTTTTTCTGGTAAAATATAATTTTTTAAAATTCTTATGAAGTACTTTTTGAAATTGTTATGAAGTACTAGATGCAATAGCAATTGCAACAAAAGTCAAACTGCGAATATTAGTAAGTGCCGGCTCTTTAGTTCTCGTGCAAATTGAAAATTAAAAAATGAAAAGCCTATTTTTTTCTGTTTGTTGACAAGATCAATAACTGCTACTAGTTTCACATTGTTGGAAGAAAAAAAAGGAATCCGTAAAAATGTTTTCCCTGAAAGATTGAGAAGTTCGAAACGAAAGTAATAGGCTCCAACAGCTCCCCTTCGCTCTCCTCACACCAACCTTTTTATTAATCATTGTTTTTTTTCCTTATAAGTCGATAAAGAGGTAATTTTGCTCAGAATATATATAGTTATTAAAATTTTATCTAAGAACATTTTGTTAACATTCTAATTATAACGAAATGAAAGATATATTATTTGGAATGCAAAAATAATAAATTTAAGGTGAAGAAAAAATGTGCTGAGTATATTGCTTATGTGAAATAAAATGTTTCCCTCTGAAATAAAGTAACTTTCCGCCAAAAGATTCTAAGAAAATCAATGAGAACTGTAAATTAAGAAAATCTATGCACAAATACATAATTAAAATAAGTAATTAACTTCCTGTCCCATCTAGACAGGAAGCGTATATAAAAAAGGAGTAAATTTAAGAAATTCCGGTAAAAAAATAATTATTTTTGTAAAATTCATATTTGGAAGAATGTGAATTCCAGTCTGACTGAAGTGACGTCATTTGAAAGTGTCTTACAACACTAACTTAATAAGATTGAAAATAACTATAACTAAATGGTATTAAATAGATAACAAATAAATCTGACAAATTTAATTTAATTCACTGAATTATCTGTTAAACAAATCACCCCCCTCCCCGATTTCTTTGAATCATACTATACTAAATAACAATTACGATAGCTTTTTAGCATAATGGCTGAATTAAATATGTAGTAGAATAGTTTTGTACATATTGATTTATTCATTACTCTCAAAAGAGATAAGTTATTTATAATAAGTTACTTATAACAAGTTACTTATTACTAATATTAGTAATTTAATTTATAATTACTTGTTATTTCCATAACTAACCTTTGATTTCTCTAAAAGTTGATCGCAAAAGCAATGCCCCGCAAGTGGTCAAATTACACAGTTTTCACTCAATTTTTTGAAACATACATTTCAAGTTATGTTCATTTTCTTAAATGCGTATTTTGAGCTACATTCAGTCGAAAAATATTTTCGAGTATTTATTAAAATTACTAGTATTAGTTGTTGTAGTTGTAGTCCATTTACGTCGTTCTAGAGCTGCACAATGGGCTATTGGCGACGGTCTGGGAAACATCCTTGAGGATGATCCGAAGACATGCCATCGCAGTTTTGATCCTCTCCAGAGGGGATGGCACCCCTGCTTCGGTAGCCCGACGACCTACACGCGAAGTCGAGCACTTTACAGTACAGCTGTTTAACGAGGACCAATACCGCACACCCTCGGTCCCTACGCAGACTGATCCAAGTGGACACCCACCCGCACACTGACCGCAGACAATGATGCTTGACTGCGGTGATCTGCTGGGAGCCGTGTCTTAACGATCAGTCCAATGCGGGACTACTAATATTAGTAATTTAATTTATACTTATCAATTATTTGAATTACTAATTATTTAATTTTTCTATAAGTTCACCGCAAAAGTATTACTCTTCTACGATCAACTTACACAGGTTTCACTCAGTTTTATGAAACATACATTTCAAGCTATGTTCATTTTCTTAAATGCGCATTTTCAGTCGAAAAATTCCACCCACTTCCATTAAACTAGTGATTTTTTTCATGAAGCTGTCTTTCGCAACTTAATGTTGTGAACAAACTTAGTTTCGCGATGATTTCGCCAAGACGCCAACCCCTGCTCACCATCCGCATATGCTTCTCTCCCCTATCACTTCGTTTCATTGCAAAACGTGGCTTTGCCGCAGGCTGATGTGATCTCTTTCCCCCCAACAACACTCTATGAGAGTAAATGAATTGGTCTCGCAACTTCTCGCCCTCATTCTTGACTTTTAACATCGGGTTCTGAAAAAAAGAAGACAAAATATGCACGAAACAGACGATATCTGATGAGAAGAGTATCGATTTTGAAGTCGGAAAAGAAGTAATCGATATGTCCATTCTACTACTTCTTTACTCACTATATTCTTCACCTTGAACTTTGTGAATGAAAATGTGAAACCAAAAATGACAGGTAAGTCAAAAACAACGTTCTTTCATCATAATTTATTCATACTTTAGTTTAAAAGTTAATGTTAGATCCGGTGGCAGTTTGTAAAAAGTCGTTTGCAAAAATGAACCATTTTAAATTGTGGAATTTCAATCGATATCGGTCATATTAACAATTAAGACATTTTAAAATGGAATTTATGTGAGAAATGCATTTAAATGTTTCGTTCTTTTTAAATATTCTTTTTTTAATGCTTAGAATGAAGCGTATTACCGAATAAAACGTATTTTTAAGAAATAAAATAGATTTGTGAAGTATTTAAACTATAATGAATAAATATTAAGTTAAAGATGTGCTATGAGATTTTCATAATTAAGATACTGATACTATTAAGATTTAAAAGGAGAAAAAAAGGGATATGTTTTTTTAAAAAGGAAAAGCAAAATAATATTCAATATTTTGATATTTATTTTCAGGTTGTAAAAAATTTATCATTTCATTTCCCAGTTTTTAAAGAATCAGTAAAACGTTTACATTATTAGAGCCATTTAATCAGAAAATGCATATCATTCAATACAATATTTTTAAATAGACGACAAATTAGTGAATATCCAAAATTTTTATTGAGGATTCAAAAGATAATCAAAAAATTAAAGAGAGGTTTCGTTCTAAAATGATTCTCTTAACACATTTTAAATGACACCGAAAACAAATTTTAACTCTTTTACACCTAGCACTTCTTCTCAATATCGGAATTACTGAAATGAATTTCCCAAAATATTCAATTTTTTTTAGAGAATTTTTTTAACTAACGTGGCAACCCTGCTTTTCTATTAACTACATTTTTCATTGTAGTTTTTATACACACTTGCTTACAAGCAAGTATCATCGACCGGTAAATTAAAATTTCCACATTTTTTTGTACTTCTAAATGTTTAAATAATAGATTTTTGTTTAAATGAAAGCACTTTTTTTTCCAAAATTTCTTTGTTAAATTTTCTCAACTAGTTGAAGAAAAGTTCAAAAATATGTTTTTCATAATTATTTAAAATAAAAAAAATGACATTTAGTTTTAAAAAAGACCTCCAGGTTTTCGGTCTACATGTTTATTTTGTTTCAATGAAAATTCCATTTTGTAGTATATGAATGAATTGTTGACATAAAATTACGAGAGCAATCGTTTGCGATAAAATTAATTGTGGTTTAAAGTATCTTTTGAAAATCACAAACAGTAAAACCTTATTTTAAAACTTATACGCGTTTCTGTATCACATTGGTAAGCCGTCATCAGTAGGATAAATGACAGGGATGGTTAGTCAGAGATGATGTAATTCGGCACAGGTTACGCCACACTAAAGAGATGAATAGAGCCTGATGATACAAGTATTTCCTGTTTTGAGCTAGATTTCTGGGAGACTTTTCACACTACCAAAAGCAATAAATCCATTATTAATGATCTAGCCACTCTACCATAGTTTTCAAATATTTGCACATCATAATTTTCTTTCTTTTTTACGACTTTTCTAAAACTTACTATCAATTTAATGTTGTTACTCTTAATTGTATATTTATATTATAAGAGTGATGCAAATTGTGCTTTGCATCATCTTTATTAACTTCATCGTTGTTTAATCATCTCTTGTTATTTATTATACCGATGAAAGTATATCTTTTTTCATGTTAGAAAATACCAATTGTGATATTTGAATTGATGATAATCATGATTAATGAATTGATATTTTTAAAAAGATTACCAGATAAAACATATGTTTAAGAATTCTTTGTGGTACAGTATTATGCAGTGCAATTTTTTTTCTTTTACAAACTTTACACATAATGAAATGACATTAGACTTACTTGATTAACAAGTACTATTTGAATTAATTATCCTGCCCAATGAGTATGCTTTAAAGAGTAGAACTTGTTTCTAAGCTAAAATAAAAATTAAAAAACGAACCTTAAATAAAAAATTACATAGTTATTAAGAAGTAAATATAGCTTGTAGAATTAAATAGGGAGAATGAGACAATAAATTTCAAAGCAATTCTATAAAAAAAAATAGTGTGTGCGAACAAGTTAATTTGTACATTACAAATTAAATTTTATATATTTATTTTTTAATTATTTTGCATTTTTAATGAGATATTTGAAATAGTTCATTAAATAAATTCTTTGAAAATAAAAGTTTGCAATGTTAACGACGTGAGTAATATTAGCGTTAATTTTCTAACGTCACATACGGTATTATCTTAGTAGTTATTCGACTTAGTAACAATTATTGGAACAATTTAAGTTGAAAACGGGGTTTTTTTTTGTAATTTTTATTAATTCGTTCATTTATTATTATTTTTACCTAAAAAATTATACTTACCTAAAGAGTGACATATTATACAAAAATGTTGAAAAAAATACGGTTTTCAAATACAATTGGCCAAAATCTTTAAATTCATATAAATTTGATCCGGCTTGCACGATTATTACTTACTTTGTTAAAATTTTAGACTAAGTCGAATGAAAGTTGAGCAGATCATTTATCGTTGCGTTGATATAACATACCCTGAATTTTGTCACTTGCGCGAGTTGAAATTTACTCTTATCTAATCTGCTAACTAATTACTAAAATATAATTTAAATCTGCACATAGCAGTTAGTCTGAGGTATCTGGTACCAAGCGCTCACCAACTAGTCGTGCAATGCCCTAACATTGCGAGGGGGTAGCGCGGCAGCACGAATTTGGTTTTCCAAGTAGGATCACAAATGCTCTATTGGATTAAGGTCAGGTGAATTTGGAGGCCAGGACATGATTTTAAAGTCAGTGAAATGTTCCTCGACGAGTTGACCCTTATGACATAGTGCATTATTCTGTTGGTAAACACCACCCCCCGTAGGAAAAACTGTTGCCATGAATGGGCGAACCTGCTCTGCAACTATGTTCAAGTAGCTTACAGACGTCAAGGATTGTTCTATGAGGATTATGGGTCCTAATGTGCCCCATGAAAACATTGTTCCTGGGCGAGAAACCATGAAAACCTGGGCGAGCCCATTGTTATAGATGGAGGGTGGTCATAATGTAATGGC